GGCAGATGTCCATGAGAACAAGGCCAGCCTGGTCTACAGAGTGAGTTTCAGTATAGTCAGGGCTACATGGAGAAACCGTCTCTCGAAAAACAAACAAACAGAAAAGATATTTACTTTCATGTGTGTGGGTATGTGCGTATTTCACCTTGTATGTCTGTGTAGCACTCGTGTGCCTGGTGTCCACAGAGACCATAAGAGAGTGTCAGACTCCCTGGAACCAGAGTTACAGACAGTTCTGAGCCACCATTTGGGTGCTGGGAATGGAATCCAGGTCCTATCCTCTAGAAGGGCAGCCAGTGCTCTTAACCCCTGAGGCGTATTTCAGGCTTTTAACCAGACATTCTTATCAAACTCCACAATCCAAGTTCAGCACCAACAATTCAAGCCTAGGCACAGAGGCCACCCTGGGTTGCATTATCTACTTTATATATGAAAATGGATGTGGTGGTAACAGGCAGGCTGGCGGGTACAGAGAAGACTTGTTTGAGAGTGATACTTGCTAAACTTCGGAAAGAGAGGAGGGATGTCCTTAGGCCACGGGAGCAGAAAGTCACCCAGGGGAGATAAGAGGATGCCTTGTATGTAGAGAGCTAAATAATTACAAGCAAGGCCAGACTTGACCGGACCCATATCATCCTTAGGAGCCTGCAGCTCTACACAGTGTCAGAGATGATGTCGTCCCCCCCGTCAGGGACTGGCCTCCCCCTGTTGGAGGTAACATCCCCCGAGCTTGCTAGTCTCCCATCAACTGCAAATATAGTTAGGCAGGACTCATTTCTGCAACCCGAACCCCCTGGTAAATGATCAAGAAATACTTATAATTTTCAGCTTTATTAATTTTAGATGCGCAGGCCAACTGTATAATCAGATGTTATAGAGGGAAGAGCTGTGGTTTAAAGACCGGAGAGAGACGGGGAAATGGGTAGATATGGGGCAGGCCCTGACTCCCTCATTGTCTTAACTTGGATTTGGCCCTGGAGCCTGTGCCTGCGTGAGAGGCCCTGTAGGAACGACAGTGAGAAATTAAAGCACACGGTAACATAAGGATATGCCAGCATAGACGCATGGGTAGTAGATACGGTGTAGACACCCAGCACACATAGCCTGGGCCTGTCCATCACACAGGGTGGAGGAGGTGATGCATTGTGTAGACTTTCACCCAGGAAGGAAATGTCCACGGTGGTTTGAGTACAAACCTGGGCTCTGGGTCTTATCTAGACCAGCATCTAAACCCCAGCTCTGCCATGCATTGGCCCTGTGACCAGAGCATACTTCATAGGGACACATGAGTATTAAAGGAATTGGGTTTGCTATGTGACTCACAGTCCCCAGTCAGACAAGAAATGTCAATTCCTAGCGGCTGGGTGTTAACATTAAAAGGATAAATGATGCTTAATTGATAAACTTTGGAGGGCCGTGCCCTGCCGCGCGATGGTATTTCAGTAGGGGAACTCTCTAGGGTGCAGAATGGATTTCTGTACCTGAAGATAAAAATGGGAGGAAATTAGCTGAAAGTTTAGCTCAGCGGTGCTCAGCAGAGTGTTTGTCTAGCACGCACAAAGCATGGTGTTCCACCTCTCACTCTACATAAATCGGGCATGGCGGGTCACACCTGGAACCCCAGCGTTTGGGAGGTAGCGATGGGGATCGGAAATTCAAGGTTTTCTTTCACTTCTTCAAGTTCAAGGCCATCTTGAAATTCATGAACATTAAGTAATATTGGAATTTATATAATTAAATTAAAAATGAAATAAATGATGAAATATTTAAAAACAGAAAATAAATAATCTGCTTGTTACTGAGCCTCAAACATGAGCAGCAGAAGAAGAGAAACACTGTCTGTGCTTTGAGGAGCTGGAAATCTGGGGGCAGAGGTCACTGTCCCCTGAGCGCCACAGCGGTAGCCCAGGCTGCAGGGTGGAAGGAAGCATCCCTGATGTGCCACGGCCCCTGGGAAGGTCCTGCAGGAGACGACCCAAGGCTGGCTCTGGGTGGGAGGCGAGGCTATCAAGGAAAGGAGATGTACAGGGCAGAGGGAGCCAGAACAAGACCTTGCCCTGTGATGCAGTCTCAAGTGGCAAAGGAGGGGGGGGTGATGAGCCACACTGCACAGAGCCCTGCATGCCTGGGCACTGACTGAGCTGGCTGGACTGAGGCAAGGACACAAAGCGGTGGCCCAAGAGCCGTGATCACTGTTATTACACACAAGACCACTGATAAGTAAGAATTAGGATGGTGGTAGGCCTAAGATTGGAAGAAACAGGCACTGTTCAGGGAGACTTGTGCACGAGGCTGTGGTCGCAGCCACTGACCTGGGTTTTGGATAAGGCATTGTGCTAGAAGGACCAGGGTCAGGACCTGGTGAATGGGAAGAGAGAACCAAGGCAGAGGCTCTGACTTATGAACTCAGTCAACAAAGCAGCCAGGGAAGAGGGGCCACCTGAATGACCCAGCATCTGAGGATAATATAGGCAAATCTTTGGAGATTTTATAGGAAGCTCCAATGTGACCTCTGCTGAGGGACCTTTCTGACCACACTGCCCAGTAGCCTCACCCACACCCACTTCCAGTCTCCAGCCACACAGACTTTCCCTTGTAGCCCTCGCTATCACCTGAAAGGGTCCCATTTGTTTCCTGTCTGCTGAATATTGATATTGGCCCTGGAACGCCCAGCCCTGGACACGTTGCACCCCCAGCCCACGCTCACCCCACACTGCCCCACCCCGCTGTGTCCACTCAGCTCCAGCACTGAGATGTTACAGACACTTGCTTTGTGCTGAGGGGTGCACGGAGCTGTGGAGGACACGGAGCCAGGGGCCCAGAGCCCACAGTGGGGTTGGAGTATCAGCATGAGCACAAATGGCTTTCGGTGTGCTGAGTGCTCCAGGTTCAGAAAGAGCCATTCAGGAAAGGGGGTGCACCTGGGTAAGCTGGGTGAGGGGGGCCACCTGGAGGCACCACACTGTGATCTGGATGCTGCGGTTAACACTGGCAGCTGGGTACTAGGGGATGGAACTCGTGTGGTAAGAGGAGGTTCGACTGGGAAGAGAGGCCGGGGCCTGACAAGTGGTCTCGCTGCCGCTGCCGCTGCTGCTGCTGCTAGGGAGCTAGGGACTTTATTCCTTGGGTTGAGAAAGCTGTTTCTAAGCAAAGGGGGTGACTGGACTAGATCCCTGATTTATAAAGATCAAACTGATTGGGTGTGGAAGATGGACTAGAGACGGGAGAGTCAGGGAGCAGAGAGACCAGGGAAAAGCCATGTCTGAGCAAGAGGGGACCTGGCCTGTGCTGAGGCAGGGCCATGGTCTTGGAGGGGATGCGTGGACAGGGTCATGAAGACCAGAGAGAGGCCGTGGCCATACTTCCCCATGGATAGAACTAGCTCAGACAAAAGGTTGGGTACCCGGGAGGACTTTGGCCGTTTGAACACTAGGGAGAGCATATTGTACTGCCAGGAGAGTATGTCGGCTTCTTGATTTAGTCAGCAGACGGAAGGCAAAGAAAGAGGGAAGATGATGACTCAAACTGGCACCAGATACCCCCTCCCAGTCCCCCAGACAGCAGGAGTGCCCCCATCTGACAGAGGAAACTCCAGGCTAGTCCCCCACCTGAAGTCTGGGGCATGGCGACCTATAGTCACCCGACACTCAGCTGTGTTCCATAAAGAAGCTGCCCCCAGACCCGGCTCTAAGTGGTTAGGGATTTCTTTAGGGACTATGTACAAAAGAAGGCAGTTTGGGGCAGCAGAGCAGACTGCAGAAGGCTGAAAGGCAGATAGGGTGCAGGAACGGGCAGGGTACTCTTAAGGCCTTGTGGTTGTGCTCAAACAAGCAAGAGCCCAGTCACCAGCCTCTCTCCAGACCTAACTCATTCCTGACAGCCCATCTGAGTCACTTCCCCAACCAGGCTTCCAGTAAGTGCATGACAGGATGGACCTTTAGGGAATGTGAAGATTTTTCTTTAAATGCAACAATCAAAGTGCCTCCTGGAGCTGCAAGAGATGTGTATTATTCATTTGCTATTTTATTTCTGATTGTTTATTTGAGACAGTATCTCACTCTGTATCCCAGATTGCCCTGACGCTCAAAATCCTCCTGCCTCAGCCCCACGAGTGCTGAGATTGTAGGCACGTGACACCCCATCCAGCTAGACCACTCTTTAATAGGTGGTCCTCAGGGCACATGCTTGTCTTGGCCCATTTTAGGCCTTTGTTCTGGACTCAGAACTAGCTAGAATCAGCCTTCTACTGAGATGCCTGTAAAATGCAGATAATGGTCATTCTGTGTCATCTGGGAGTGGTGGTTGAGGTGAGGCCTGTGAGAGGCCCCATAGGCTTCATTTCCGAGTGAACGCTTAGTGCCAAGACAGTCCTTATGGAAAACGCTGGAGCCCTGGCAGGTGCCTGGGTGACTCAGTCCACCAAAGACTGGTGGCTTCGCTAGTTGGCAGCAGACAGAGCCCTAGACTGGGAAAAACTCTTCTCTGCTGCCATCGCGTGTCCACTGGGGAAATAACTGTCTAGCGGAGGTTAAGCATTTCCCCCAAAGGCTCCTGAACCAAGGACCAGCGGACATGCGGGGCCTGCCCATGTCCTGCATGCTGTACCTGTATGCTGGCAGATGCTTGCTGGCAGATGGACTCAGTGAGGTGAGACTTTCACGGGGCCTGGCACATCCTAAATGTACCTTCTGGCTCTGATTTTTGCCTGCTGTGTGCCACCCCTGTCCTCTTGGTCTCCTAGGGAAGTTTCTGAGTCACCAGGGAGCTTTAGCCTCTGTGAGTTACTATTAGGGGTGAAAACTAAAAATTTATTTTCCAGGTAAAGGGGAAGGCCAGAAGAGACAGAGGAAGCCAAGAAGCGGAGTAGAGGCCCAATCATTGAACAAACAGAGAAGCCTGCAGCCCCTTGGGAACACAGAGGTAGGCTGTTGGGGGATTCCAGGCCTGGCCTCAGGTTGGGGTGGACAGGGTTCCAGAGACTCAGCTCCAGGTATAACACTTCAAGAGTCACTAAACACCAGGTCTGGGGGACAGCTTTGCTGGAACAGCTGTCCCCATGCACAACTGTAGTAACTGGGTTTGTCTCCAGGGTTGGGGTAGAGCCCATCAGCTCTGCCCTGGCAGAAGGTATCTAGCCCTGGGCTGGGTCCCTGCTCTGGCTCAGAAGGCTGGTGTGGCCCAGGAGCTTCCTGTTCAGGGTTTCTTGGAGGCATGTGTGGAAGACCTAGAAAGACAATGAAGATACCACCAATACCGGCCCAACAGATTCCACACACCAACACAGGGCAGCAGCCACAGGTGGCAGAAGCCCTGCTCCCCATACACCACATCCAGACCACAGCCATGACTGCTGGGCACTGCCTGGAAGACCACCTGAGCTACAAAGTAGTAGGGAGCCGGTGACTACATACCAGCTGTGACACTTAGCCATAAACTGGTGACGGGGGTCCCGCACAACAGGGTGAGGGGTGGCTTTCTTCTTGGTGGGAGCAATCAGCTGTCCCCAGGCCGAGACCTTGGAGGGAGTCCCTGTTTCCACACCCTGACAGGTATTGCCAACACGAAACAGGAAGGGGGTGCAAAAGCACAGTTTCAACAGTTTCCTTAGCTCCTGGGGTATGTGCAGTTTGAGAAATCACAATATTGGGGCACAGATGTTTCCTCAGAAAGACATATGAGAGGGGAGGGTGTGTACCCCTTTCCCTGAGTTAACCTCTGGTCCCCCGACTTACTCAGCTCCTGCTGCAGGGTCCAGATGAGAGGGTACTGGCCCTGCTTGCAGAAAAACACCAGAGAAATCATCCAAGTCCAAAGCCCAGACCGTGGCCCCTCCCAGCCCCTTCTGTTTCAGATAGCTGACCTGGGGAGGATGAGCATATATGGACCATTAAAGTATTTCCTACTGGTTGTTATAGGTTCAGTCACCACAGGGAATCAGCTCTCAGTTTCCAGAAATTTCTGAAGCTAGCTTTGTCTTCATATCTTCATTTCTTTGCCACCCTCAGGATTCCCGAGGGAATCTACTGTGGCTATGTGTTCCCTCAGAGATATTCAGAGCACCACGAGGTTTGTCCGTGGAGTGTCTGGGAGCTGATGGAGGGTGGTCTAGACCCCTTACCGGCCTCACTCTACTTCATGGGTCCCGCCCTGTTCTCAGGGTCCATTTCTTCCTTCTCCACCCTGTCTGCCTACAGTTTCCTCCCTGTATGACTACATTCTGGGCTTTAGGACTTGCCTCAAGCACGCTTCCTCCCACACCTTCCCCCCATCTCCTTGAACAGCATCTACTCTTTCTAATTCCCACAGGACACTTTATCAGCGTTTCTGAAAACTCCAAATCTGGCCAACAGACTGGGTAAAATCCCATGTCCCACCACACGTGTATCTGCCCCCCATGTGCCTATAGGATTTAGCATTTTGGTAAAATACAAATCTTATCAAGACGATTACTCATGCAGAGAAATCTCTCTCTCTCTCTCTCTCTCTCTCTCTCTCTCTCTCTCTCTCTCTCACACACACACACACACACTCTCTCACACACACTCCTCTCTCTCTCTCCCTCTCTCTCTCCCTCTCTCTCTCTCTCTCTCTCTCTCTCTCTCTCTCTCTCTC